GGACTGTCTCGTACACAAGGACAGAACTCTATTGAATTAGCTGTTATTAAACATATTTATGTATGTACTAAGTCTTCATGTTTTTACAATAAATAATCTATTATTTATTTGTCAAAATGATAAATAGTGTAATATAACCTTGCAGTGGTAGTTCAAGTATATTTATGTTATTTACATACGAATACCTGGTACCAAAGTGGACATGCATAAGTTAAAAGCTGTTTTCACAGGGAGCCAAATGTGATGTTTATGAATAAGAATGCAGTGTGAAAATATTTTAAGCTGGTCGTGAGTAGTGATACTAATCAACCGTTTAAAGTGGTAACTGTGTGTGCCACCTGCTTTAATAAGTAACAGTAATACCACTTAAACAAGGCCGTACAATTATATACCGTAATAGTTTTTCGAAAAATACACGCGTATGAGTCCAGAAATTTACCACACGCCTGACTTTACATACTGCAGTTTTAAAATAGTGAACATAAATGGTATAGAAGGAAAATAGTTTCTGCCTGCCCAGTGTGAGTGGGTTTGCATTAACAGAGGTCTGTATGACGTACAATAAATAGGCTGGGTCTAAATATCAGTTCCATTGATGCATCCATTATTTCTAATAAATCGTTTAAAATGTTGTAGGAGATATATTCTGTAGGAGAACAAGTTTCGACTATTGCTCCATCTGAGTTCCAGTCATTTCTGTTCCAATCAACTACCTAAATCACCAGCAACACCTAACCTCATTTGCAACACAGGAAACAGAAGTATGCAGTTAACGACGCATATAATTCGTTTTCATCATCCACATCATTCATTACTGTTCTGGCCATAAATTTTGTGCCAACTGTCATACATGGTTCATTAATGCTCTCAGTGTTTTCTGTATCGTATACCAGACAGATGCAGGTTTTATTTAAATCACTGAATACGAATTAAATTGATTTTCTAGCACATTCAACAGTGAGTTGTTTCAACACACGGACTCTGGCTGTTGGCGACCAAGAGTGATATATATATTAATGAATTCATTTGGGAAAATAAAGCTACTTTTCAGAATGCGATACTCTAGTGATCACCATTCCTCTTTTATTGTGGTCTGGCTTTCGATACGCGAATTTTATTAGTCAGACTTCTCTGAGACATAATTTTTCATTCCTTCTAGCACCTCAAATAAGCAGCTTAGTCAGACTTCTCTGAGACATAATTTCTCATTCCTTCTAGCACCCCAAATAAGCAGTTGGCACTCTTTGTAACATATATTTCTTTATCATTAATTAATACTTACAATTTAATTCATAAAAATGAATTTCGTTACAAAGTACAGTATAGTTAATTAACTCCATGCTATTGAATCTAATTGAGTAGCACATACCCAGTAAACGATCAAGAAGATATTTTGTTTTTGTGAAACCCAAAGTTTCATCACATGGAAAATTGTCTCGTTCCATGAGACTTTATAATGAAAAATTTGTATGTATTTTTTTTATCGTTTTCTAGTGTTAAATACACAGCCCTTTACAGCCTTATTGTTTTAATTACTGTAAAGTGATATGAAGAATGAAAAGCTTGAATTGCTTTGTTTTTCTTTTTCACAGGTCAGCTGTTCTCACAAATCTGCTGTTGAGCACCCTCTGTACGCTTCTTTGGAATCTCTACCTTCATACCATCTACACCAGTGGTATTCAACCTGGGGTACAAGTACCCCCGGGGGTACGCGAAATTTAAAAAAAAATATTATTTTATGATAAACACTAAATAATCAGTAATGTAATTTATTTAATTTATTTTAGATGTAGCTTATATACTATGTATAACTTGAATTATACACCAACAACTTTGGGGGTACAAAGTTGAAGAGAAATTATATCTGGGGGTATGCGAAAAAAAAAGTTGAATACCACTGATCTACACTGTCATTCTTTTCTTCATTTCCTGTCAATCAGCGAATATCGAGGCTTCAAAATGACCTCGTCCACCCTCCATGTCCTTACTTACTCACACTACATAATCTCTGTAATTGAAACAATATCGTTAAACAACCCTGATGATGGAGACAGAGACTGTTTACGAAACGATGGATTACAACGCCATTTTCAGGCTACTGATAACCCGAGAAGACTTCGTTGAACCGAAGATTCAATCGACAATTATTATTATTATTACGAGTCTATATGGTTTATTTGACGACTTTTTCAGCAGCTAAAAGCGTCTAATGACGACGATAAATGTACCTGTATAATGAAGTGCAAAGTGTATGAGATAATGAATGTGGTATATAAATCATTGTGGGGTCCTTCTATACTTCCATACGCCAAATTCACGATGTTAGACGGGGAGGGGGAGCTGAAAATTCCGCACTGGACTCGACCGATCTCAAACCCATCAGATCCCAAACTTGAAGATGGCTGTCTTCCGTGTTGTAACGCCGTGTAGTCTGGTAGAAGTTTACCAACTTTCAGAGGTCCATGCTGCCTCCATCATCAGGGTGATGAAGGTAACAAGGACCTCTTTCCAGACTTCAGCGTCATTACAGGCTAGATAACTACTCGTCTTTGTTGAAATATACCACAAAGGACGCATATGCTGACGTGTTTAAGTTGTGAGATGTAGAGAAGTGATATCTGTTATCTTTGTGTGCGGCCTCGTGACTATCAGAGCAAACTAGTAATTTGCAGCGTACGTGTATTACGTAGGTGTTATTGACACTCTGAGCCATGGTCTTATACAGAATTCTATGCCATTTTGTAGAACTCCATGGGCAGGACACAGAAAGACGCGGACAGATTTCCATTTCTGGAATGGGATTATAACCCAGGAAAGCACAAGGCCCACGCATTAGACCACACGTCCACTGAGATCTGTCTCATTTTGAATGTAATTCGGTATGAAATTTTACACTAAAAATATTAAATTAAAAACACTGGATGTCACTCAGACGAAGGAGTAGAATGGAGAGGATATTGAACATGTACGCCACTGACTAGTGTTCAGAAAATGATAAGTTAGAAATTTCGTGGAAACTAACTTTCCTGACTAAGAATTTTTATTTTGTTTCCATAGTCACTCCAGGTAAATGGACGTTACCAAAGGACACGTCCAGTTTATCTCGCTCCATTGGCTTCATGTAATTAATATCATTCCAAAATTTCTCATTTGACGCTACATAATCTTAATACAACTTTTTAAAACAATCCAAAAAATATTGGAAATAAAAAACTAGCCCTAACTGATTTACGATTTGGAATGGGCTTTGACAGATTTTTAAAAACTCGTAACTTTATTTGGGATTAGTTTTTATCACAGACAGAAACTGATAACATTGCGTACCCGCGAATTATATAATAATTTATTTAGAAAATTATTCATATTTTAAGTTGTTATTTTACCCGTTTCGACCTGATTTATATTGTCTAAAAATTCCCCCTCGTTTCTTGTTCCAGTCGAAAGTAGAATTTCTGCGTGTTCCTGTTTCGATTCTGGGTTTAAGGTCTGGGAAGTTAGGGATAGTAACAACAAACCGATCACGAAATGTCACGTGTTAATTTACAGCGCTTCACTTGCACGCATTATCTGCAACAGCACAGTTATGACGACTGAGTCACGTGCTTAGCAATTTACAGCTGCTGTTAGTAGAAACATTTTAACGACCCGGTCAGCTTTAACGGATTTAGTTGCCCACATCCTACTTATTTGCGCACATGGATGCATCTACTATCTATCTATGTATTATGTATGTGTCTGTTTATCTAACCTTTTTCCATTCTTATCGTACTTTATTTACCAAAACAAATATTTACAGCCCGTATGATATTGGTGTTACGTGATATTGCTCACATCGTAATAATAGCAATCTGATTAGCACATCTGAGCTTCAGTTTTCATAAAGTTTTCCCTCATAACGTTTTACATAATATTAATTGTCCCTTGTAAATTTTCCCTGGAATTTGTTTGTACAACCAAATTGCGCTGAAACTCTCCACATTATTTTTCCGGGTGTTGTGATGCAAATCTACGTGATACGTAGGTGCAAGCCCTTAAGTATCATGTGCCGCCATGTAGGTCTTCAATATATACACGTCTATCTGCCGATCGGTCCGTCTATCCGTTCATCCACGCGTCTTCCTACTCGTCTACCTGTCTGATCGTCGGTCAGTGCGCCTACTTATCTACTTTCTGTGCATCTGTCTGTCTGTAACTTATCTAAATCCATTATCATTGTCATTCCGGTGACAAGAAAGTCCCTGTCTATTATATAATTCCTTTAGGGAGATAAAACAGTTCCTATCATAATGAGCTGATACAAAGACGCCATACTAAATCATGTTGATTTTAATTACACACTCATGCACCGTGATTATTTTAATTCAGAATACGAATGATTGAAACAGTTCGCCTTGGATATTATTTGTTAGTTTTTATAGGAATTAATACCATGAGAAGAAATTGCGTATGCAGGATGCAAATACATACATACATATATACAGAATGACAGTTCTTGCACCAATGGTGTAAATAATTTATGTGGACGATTCTCCTGTTTTCATACGTGCTCAGAAATACGGAGATTCGTGTTCGGGAATGATTTTTTCCCATTTGAATAAAGAATCGAACATAATGTTTTCTGAATCGACCAATTCAACATGGCTAGTCAGCGCATCACTATGAAATTACAAGAATCAGAAGAATAGTCGTCTGAACCTTAGATATCTCACACGATTGACAATCAAGAAAACAAAATATCGCAGCATATATGTAGCAAAAAGCTCGGCTAAAGTTAACTTGCAGGGTAATCAAGCCGCCAATCTTTGGCGGATCAATGACAAGTAAAGAGACAAGAAGGAAACAGTGTTAGGTTGTGATATCGCTGGTCTAAGAGAGGGAAACGTAGCGAGAAAAACCGACAAATGAAGATTCTGAAACACGAAAACCTGATAATTGAATTGTTTCTGTGTAGAAAGAGCCGGCCGGCGCAGACGGACGCTGAACCCTGGCTATAAACCGCCACTGGTATGTATCCCGAGGGATAATATCCTCATCTACGGGATAGGTGTTGAAGGATGATGGGGAAACTATTTTATTCCAGCCCCTAGAAAAGCTTGCGGTATATTATAAGGCACGCAGGACAAGGGTGGTTCAGTAGCTGAGATACGACGCAATGGCCTCCTGCGCAGCTTGGCGGGAGAGGAGAGGTTAGCTAGCTAGCAGCCAGGCCCGGTCTGAGCATTCTCGCTCCATACTCGTTCTCTGACAGGCAGTAGCAACGCGTTCTGTGTGCCTAGTACTAGTGTTATGTTGTGTCATCTACCATGATTAGCCGACATGGAGCTGTGGTCATCGAAATCACAAGTGGTTTGTGAAATCAAAAGAGTTTCCGTTGTTGCGTTTGTTGACAGTGCAATATGAATATGACCGCTTGTGTACAGTGGTGATATAAGTAGGAATTTCGTTCATGGCTGTCGCGTGTTAGATCGGGGAGCACTTGAAGTTGTAGCTCTACAGTGTTGATTCAATATGAGCTCAGGAGGGACGGAACATACCATGGAGGAACGCATGGCAGCCTTCAGAAGTGACCCACAGCTGATGGAAGCGGCCACCAAATTTGTCAACGATGTCCTGGAAAAGGCCAAAGAAGAGGCGTTGCGTCGGCTCAAGGAGAAGGCGGCGGTAAGTTTGACACTTGTTGAAACTACGAGATACACGTGGAAACATGGACAATGCGGCCAGTAGCAATTGTTATGAAGGTGCTGTTCTTGAATCCCATCGGGGAACCGTAACTATTTCAGAGATTCGTTGGGAAAATTCGATATACGGAATTGTTTTTGTTCCGTTTCAAGGACAGCAGGTTATTTACATAATCCAATACTAATGGGAATTGTTGCAACTCATTTATTTCTTATTAATTTTGCAGGCACGTGGTATAAAAAAAGCATGGTAAATTTAGTTACACACACGAAAGACTGTTTTTTTTTGTTTATTTTCAGTTACATCCACACAAATGCCTGATTTGTGTTTGACAGTTCGCGTTAATGTGTGGGAAGTCTTTGGTAGGGTCGCGGATTTGACATGAAGTAAAACCGAAATTATTGACATATATTGGTTCAATTTTTCTTGTAACCAGGGTGTCAAATTGTTAGACGTGTAATTAACATTCATATCTGTAATCAGCAATTCTGTTTTTAATCCTATTTGACACCTTCATTCGTCTTTTGATCACCTTTCCGTGATTTCAGATAAACTCATTTCATCATGCCCATTATTCTTGTATTGGTTTGTTATTTGCGGACTTGTGATCCGTGCGAAAGAAGAGGTTATACCATTTATTATCTTTTAAAATTAGGACATTGTTAAGAGTTATTTATCAAGTTCTTTTACTGTGTCATTTTTACGTCCCTCCTTATTTTCTCTTGGACTTGTTGTTTTTACGATGATCCCTATCAACTTCCAAGAAAACGACTTTCTAAGACATTAAAACTGAAATTCGTGTTTGAGAGGTCACGTGTTCTACTCCTGGCCCGAAAGCTGGGCATGTTCATTTGTTGTAGTTTCCTTCTGTTCGTGCAATGAAGAGCCGAGTATATCTTAAATTTATCTCTTCTTCTTCTTCTTCTGGTGCCTTGACCGCTATCGATCGTTGGCGATCATGACGGCTACCATATTTGTGATTATGATTTTATTTACAGCCGCACGGAAAAGTTGTACTGTGGACTGTCTAAACCATTGCCTTAAATTTAAATAGAAACAGACAGCTGCCGTTTTTTTACATTATTTTCGGTTCAGCGTTCAGTCGTCCTTACCATTCTGTGCTGTTTTAATCTAGAAACAAACTGACAACGTAAGAATGACTGCGTGAGAACTCTTGGAGCACAAATGCACACAAGAAAAGTTTTCAGAATAGGCTATAAAATAACTCTCTCGTAGGAACGTAACATTTTATATTATAATTTCTCCACGCAGACAAATTACATATATAGGCTACTGGATACAAGTAAAATATTTTATTAAAAGTAAAGAAGAACAGTTAATTCACACGAAATGGTCCAGTAAATTCTTAAATGTTAATAAAGAGCTAGGGTAGTTCCTCAGAAATAAATTGATTTTACTAATTATTGAAGTTTGTAGTTTGTCAGCGACAGTCATCTTCACGTATTTTTTTCACATACCGAAGTTTGTTATGGATCACTTCTTATGGGAATAAGGTAGGATTCAGATCACCTTATTTCCTGTGGGTGTCGCTTTTAGATTTATACTAAATTTAGTATGAATATCAAGGCAATATAGGCCATATAAACCTCGTACTTTGTAATTTTATACAACCGATAATAACATGGCGTCTGCACAAACCTCTGAGGTGGAAGCTACACTAGCGCCAGTAAATAAAGGGCCCGGAAATGATGATATTCTCTAAAATTTATTTAATTTAAGTTCTATATCTTCTTTCAGACAGTATGATATATTGAAACCTAAATATTTATAGTTTGATACCTGTTCTGTTATTTTATTATCTATCACTGTTTAACATCTCACGTGGCTTTTTCCCCTGAAATGCCATGGTTTTTGATTTCGTGATTAAGATTTTCATATTGAAGCCATTTGCTGTATTTTCAAGTATATTAACTGCTCATTGAATACCGGCTTCTGATTCACGAAAAATATCCAGATCGTCTGCAAATAAAATTGTATTTAAAACTATATTGCCTGTTTTAAAATTTTAATTAAACCATTTTATTACATGACTCCGTCAATGATTATATTGAACAATTTTGGGGGCATAGGACATCCTTGTTTTACTCCTAGGTTTATATGTATTTCCTCGTTGTTAACCGACGTTTTCTTGGCCAAATTTTATCTTCATTTATATAAGCAATTAAGATTGCTTTAATTATATACAGTTTAAATTGTTATTATAACGATTCCATTGAGCCTGATGTTCGTGCAGGTTTTAGTTGCACATGTCTCCATAAAATCTTGCATATGATTTACATTCCGCTAATAATTACGTCCCACCTGTGCTCAAAAAATTAAAGTCCTCGATATTTCAACGTTTGTAAACTACAGTTCTTAAGAAACAAGTGTACCAATTATTATTATAAATAAATATATGATTAGTCGCACACGGCGTTGTAAATACGCGCATAGACGAAATGCACTGTCAAGAAGACAATTTTATGCATACGTAAGACATCTATCAGCGTAGCTGATATTCTAGGACCGTCTTTACTTTATTATAATCTCGCAGAATTATTTCGTTTCAAGATTGGATTAGACAAAATAACGCATTGTCAGAACAGCATCAGGAAGGCAACACTCGGTTAAAAATCAATACTGGTAGTCGGTTCACAGTGGACGACATCGATCGTATTTCTTAGAGGTGTTAGAACACAAAACACCGCCTTGGAAATATCTTGACAGGCCAAATGCAAAGGTATTTTTAAGACAATGCTTTCTGTGATGTCCTACAGATGGTGCTATTGTACCAATGTTACAAGTCACGTACGTTTATGATACGTAGATGGATTATCGGTAGCCATCCTTTCGCTACTGATATACCAGGTCATTCAAAAAGGACTTTACAAATTTGAAAGTGTATAGAAAGTTATTCAGAAGGTTTACAGAATCGGTTGAGGTGTCATTTTGTAGCAAAACAAATCAAGTTTGACTCACGTTGTGCTGTAGTACCGAATTCCGTCACCGCGAGCGCAAGCGGCAGTGCATTTAAAAATGGCTCGAAAATTTTCTCATACCACAGTTAGACGAAGATGACCAAAAAGGACGCATTCACTTCAAGCAAGACGGCGCACCACCTCACTATCTCACAGAAGTCCGGGATTTCCTCAATAAACGTTTCCCAGGTCGGTGGATTCGTCGAACAGGGTCGATAGCATGGCCACCTCGTTCTCCAGATTTGACACCTCTCGATTTTTTCTTATGGGGTTTCATTAAAGATCGTGTGTATGTTCCACCCTTACCCGCCAATCTGACTGAGCTCAAAGCTCGAATCACCGCCGCAGTTGCAGAAGTGACACCGGATATGCTGGATCGTGTTTGGCAAGAAATTGATTTCAGGTGGGATGTCTGCATTATCACCAATGGCAATCACATCGAACCAAAATGACTATTTGAGGTAAACCTTGATTTTTTTGCTACAAAATGACACCTAAACCGATTCTGTAAGCCTTCTGAATAAATTTCTATACACTTTCAAAGTTGTAAAGTCCTTTTTGAATCATCCTGTATTTATATACAGTAGATTCCGGTTAATTGGGCCATCGGTTATTCGGGACAAATCTTAAAGAATAAACCTTTTTAACTCTTTACGTGGACTTTCGCTTAATTGAGCCAAAGTGTTCTAGCCCCGATGTGTCCCAATTAACCGGAAACCACTGTATATACGAACGGAACACATCTCTTGTTAATATTAAATAGCTCATCTGTTCACTAAGTTATCCAGTTAATTCTGCGAGGAATTGGTTTTAAGGAATTATAATGTGCGTTTACGTTTATTGCAATAGAAAAATTGATGAGGAATATAATTTTATTTTTACTGTCGTCGGCTTTGAAATGACAGCCTTCGAATTACCGATAGGACCAGTGAAAGTAATAAAAATTCGTGGTTGCCAGTCTGAATGTAATATAAGAGTAGTGAGTGCTATACCAGAGCAATCTTTTCACTATCGATCTACAGGTTCGAAATGCAGGCGGCTGCAGTACTCTGTTGAGTTAGATGGAGAAGAGTCGAAATTCGAACTGATGACGTAGTAACAAGTGGGCTGCCAGAGGAAAGCTACATCACATAACTAATATTATAGGGCTGTAAATCTTTATTTATTGATCACAGAAACGTGTCTTTCTTTATTAATTACGTGGTGTTTAGATTACGAAGGATGAAATGGGAGAATCGTGGAAGATAAGAAAAGCATATGAAATTTTGTTGAAAACCCTGAAGAGAAGAAACCTCCTAGGAGACATAGACGTCGGTGGAAGGTTAATATTGAGGAGGGTCTTAGGGACATACAGTGTCCTAGATTCGTCTGCTTCATTATATTATCCATTGGGAGAGACTTGTAAACTAGCTAGATGAATATTAGGGGTCTGCAGTGGCCGCGCGGTCGCTGGGACCATGGGTTCGAATCCCACTCAAGCCACGAATGTTTGTTCGCGTTTTTCTGTGTTGTCCTGTGTACAGATAGAGGCCTTGCGACTGACCGATCTCTCGTCCAAGGAGTCCTATCAAAATGTCTATAGATCAAGCCAACGAAAAGTTGGGTCCCGCAGTGCTCAGGCACTTGAAGAACAGGTCGTTCCCAGTATCCCAGATGAATATTAGCTTAAACAACTCTGCTCCATAGCGTTAGACTAAATGTAATTTGAGTACATAAATGGATGTTCAGGGAATCAGTATTTATAACTAGGTTGGCGTGTAGAACTCGTCATAATTACGACAGCAGACGGGCGAGGCTCCGGTCTCAAATCGGCCTATGAACTAGGTCCTGATGATCAGTGTAATGAATTACAGGTGCTGGTGAAGCATTGATGATAAATTCGTTGGAAGGGGAGACCAAAGTATATCGTTACTTGTTCTGCCACAAATATCACTGCCCTGAATGACGACCATTTATGAATGTTTGTGCAGTACGAGAAATTAGCTTTTCATTATTGGTTTCTCA